AAACTGAAGTCTAAGGTCTTCAGGTATAAGCTTCTATTTTGTGATACAAGCTTTTGATACAAGTGTCTATTGTTTTGCTTGCTTTTTTATAAGGTTGTAATTTGCAATAGTATATAAATAAATTGTGCTTCTAGATCCCAGATACCTTAAGCTGGGATCGCTCAATTTTAGCACCCAGTTTAATGAATTGTACCCTTGAATTGAAATGCTAGTTGATAAGGTAATTTCATTGGGTTGAGGTCCTATTAACTGGAATTGCAATATAACCTCAGTGCTGTTGGGTTAAATAGGGTAGGGGAGGCCAGGAGGAGGTCAATGGGGTGGAGGGGAGAGAAATATGTACTATTTGTAGTACCTTAAATAATAAAAAAAATGACAGAAAATATAATTATTTCTATAATCACTCTTCTGACCAAAATTTTGCCAGCTATTTATAATCAAATCTTTGAGGCATTTATCTCCCTTGATTCTCAGTAGGTTAAATGATGTATTTATTTAATAGGTAGGAACCACATCTCTAGATTTCCCAAATAATTAGATTATATTTTGTCCTATGTTGCATTCAGGATTAATAGTGCATTGTTAATAAAAATTGGATATGATACAGTCCAATTGCCTTAAATACATATTACAAAGGTAATTATTGTGTATAAGGAAACCTCTATGATAAAAGCACATTTTAAAAAATATTAAATAGATTATCTTCAAAGCAGGAGGTAATTAATACAAAATAAAACTAATATGAAAAAAATGAGTAAATGTCATATACCAAAACTAATAAACACCTAATAATGATTTACCTAAGATTTCAAGAGCAGTGGTTTCTAATATATATTCACTCATTAAACACTGTGCTCAATTTTGACATTTAGATTTTGCCTACCAGTGGAACTGAAATGAAAATAATGGTCTCTGAGGCTTAGTGGGTAACACTGTTGGAATAATTAATCATTGGTAACTTTAAGTATGCAGGGTTTGATACTAATATTAATTTGTGTGTGTGTGTGTGTGTGTGTGTGTGTGTGATTATAGCATATAAATATGCCTCTGTGTAGGGGATTTTATTTTTGAAGAAATATATATTTAACATTTGTGATACTTGTTTCTTCTTAGTCTTTAGTTTCATAATGCAATACATTTATGTGATCTCCTTCATTCCAGATGCCAATGTCAGTTTATAGTAAACTGATTTTTTTTAACTTTTTAATAATTATGACAGTAATGTATTATGAAGAATGCCAGCTAATCTGGGCTTGACTTTATTGAAGTGTTAAGCATCAGGGGTTAAACAATAGATTGCAGATTTAGAATTGGCTCTTACACAGTTATAACACTGGCTACATAAGAAATCAGCTTATTCTTATTGAATGGTACAGCTGGGTTTGTCTTTCTTCCATAGATTATTTTGTCAGCAGCATTAAATGATATTTTCTTGTTATTTTTGAAAGTTATAAAAACAGCTAGAAACAATCAATAAGGAACTTTGAAAAAATAGTATCTCTAATCATAGGTGAGAAGGGCAAGTTATTGACCTCCTAGTAATGATCTAACATATTTATAGAAGAATCAAAAAGTGCCAGAAGCAACATGTCTCCATGTGACAACATGACAATCATCTCTGCTACCTCCAAAGCACTCATAGTTAAAAGGTTTAACTAGATCTCTCCTTTCCTAATGTGACACTAAAAATCATTGGTGGTTGAGACTGCATGTGGGTGATAGATGACAAAAGCTAGTGGCTAAGTGTCAGGGGCATAGATGCAAGCTATATCTACATTGTGAAGATAAAAAATTAAAAACTTTCATTTATATGTTTTGATAGCCCACTTATGCTGATGAACACAGTTCTAATTTACAGGAAAAACATACAGATTAGGAGAACTGAATGTTTGTGTACATTTGTATTTCATTTGTAATACATGGATCATTTACATATCATTTCTCCTTCTAACACACTATTTCTAAGCTTAACTGCATTATACATTATGGACATGGTAATAATACTTGGGCTAGTTTAATTGTTTATTTTGGGAACTAAATAATTATTGAAAAATCTTTGATTATGGACAGTATAAATGCTTAAGAATGTGCATTTAAAATATCTTATAAATAAACATGCTTAAGCTTTGAGTATAGCTGAAAAATTAAAAATAACTACTTAGCCCTAACCAGTTTGGCTCATTGGATAGAGCGTCAGCCTTCAGACTCCAGGATCCTAGGTTTGATTCTGGTAATGGGCATGTACCTTGTTGTGGGCACATCCCCAGTGGGAGGTGTGCAGAAGGCAGCTGATAGATGTTTCTCTCTCATTGATGTTTCTAGCTCTCTATCCCTCTCCTTTCCTTTCTGTAAAAAAAAAAAATATTTCAATAATATATATTAATAAATTTAAAAAAAAACTACTTAAATTCATATAATGTGTAGCTATAAAACATGTGGGATACTTTATTGATTTCAGGTGCTTAAACTTCTTTTTTTTTTCAAATATTCCTAAAATAACTCTCATAAAACAGGGAAGAGGAGAACACACTAAGTACATAGATTAATGAGTAGCTTTTCCTGTTAGCTGTTTTCCATTTAATGGCTGACATTCATAGCATGTGTTTTACTGTGACTCTGACTTCTGCCAAATACTTAATATGCAGAATTCAAATCCTCTTTCTTTTGCAAGGTGGTCTAATAGAGGAGATTTTTAGATGTGACTTTTCTGAAATTTACATACACAGATGCTTTTCACTTATTAATTTATATTCAAATATTGAAGCAGACCAGTGTGCATGTATGAATAAATAGGAGGTGCACTTTGTAAACCTTTTAGGATGGATGCATGAATTTAAATCAAACTTAAACCTGTCTTTCGTAGCCTGAGGTTAAATCTCAGTATAACAAATATTTGTATTTATCAAAATAAATGTCTGTTTGCTTGGTATTACTTCACATTGGCAATTTTTAAAGCTCCAAGTCCTTTAAATTTGTGGAATTGTTAGCTGACCAAATTTTTCATAATGTCTTTTTACATATTTTAAAAATTATTTGAGGCACACTGGTTGAAAATTGCTGGTTTAAACCAACAGTTTTAAAGTAATTTATATCTTATGTAATAATGATCTTAAGATGGTTCAGGAAAATATATTATCAAATGTCTAACAATGCTATTGGACCATATGTTAAAACAGAAAATAAGAGTTAAATATATGTTTTCACCAAGTGGATCACTTTGACAATATGGGTTTTAAAAAGTTACAATGAATTTGACAACAAGTTTATTTTTTTCTAAAATAGGAGTTCTTTCATTTTCCTTCTTTTTGTCAACATCTCTCATAGCACAAACAGGTGGGCATTTAACTTCAAAATGAGTTAACATTTGTGGGGGGGATTAAAGCAGCATTCTGGCAGAAGGAGACTTTGTGTGATTAAATCATTCTTAGGAGCTGAATTCAAAGACCCATCGGGATATGATGGTGTGAAGCTACCTGTCAACCCGTTACCATGGCAGAGGGCAAGGGGTCACCGATGGCATTTCAGAATGTCAAGTAGACATCCCAAGAAAATCCCAACATGGATCTTCATCAATATTTAGGACTCCCTCCAGCCTGAAATACTTTCTCAAAAACTAACTGGCCATCTTTAAAACAAAGTTAAGCAAATCATTATAAGCTAGAAGGAAGATACACATTCAAAGGAAAAAAAAAAAAAAAGGTTAAACAATTAAATTTCAGGAAGTACAAAATAAGGACAGCTCTGAGGTCTAGGAAAGAGGAACCTGTGAGGACTTTTTTAGGTAACTGCTGTTGGGATGTATTCCTTCCATTTAATTTTGCTCTTTGGACTCTGTTTTGCAGCACAAAGCAATTGGTTGCCTTGTTTCCAAACCCAAGCTCTGGGCCGGGGGAAGGAGGGTGGGTGGATAGCCTTGATTTAGGGAAGTACCAAGGTTGTGGGTAACAGGGAATATTTGAAAAATTGTAGGACCCTTAGCCAAAGGAGAAGATGGGTTTGCTGGGCAGGCAAATACAATAAATGCCCTCGTCCCATGTTGCATTTCAAGCATTACTGAACCAAAATGAACACTCAGACATCAGCCAGATGTATTTTGCTAAAAGATCGAGTCTATTAGTGTCAGCTTTCAGATTTTACTGAGAGTCTAATATCATTCATGAGGAGGTAGCAGGGAGGAAGCCTTCAATGTTTAGTATAATGAGTGCTAATGAAATTTGATTTCTGTTAGTCTAAAATGAAGTGAGCTCTGTTTCTAATTTGATCCCTTGTAACCTTAATAGCAAAATCAAATCGGATAATGGACTGAAGGATGACTATAATATCACATAGTATCAAGGTCATAACTTGAAATTGCTGATAGAATCAATCAATCCATTAAGGCTTCTCTAATCTAAAGGCAGTCACGCATGTCCTAGGTAAGTTGTCTCTTCCTCAAGCAGCACTGTCAACAGAACTCTTTGCATTGATGGAAGTGTTCTATGTCTGCATTGTGAAATGCTATAGCTGCTAGCCACTTGTGACTAATAGGTCTTAAAGTGTGTCTGATATGACCACAGAAACTAATTTTTAAGTTTATTTCATTGCTAATTTAAATAGTGACAAATGTATTTGTTGACCACAGTTTTAGACAGCACATCCTTTGAGTATGTACTTTCATCTGGTATTCAAACCAAAAATAGAAACCCATATAAGAAATTATATTTGCGCCAAAATTGGTTTGGCTCAGTGGATAGAGCATCAGCCTTTGTACTGAAAGGTTCCAGGTTCATTTCCGGTCAATGGCATGTACATTGGTTGCAGGCACATCCCAAGTAGGGTGTGTGTAGGAGACAGCTGATGGATGTTTCTCTCTCATCGAAGTTTCTAGCTCTCTTTCTCTCTCCCTTCCTCTCTATGGAAAATCAATAAAATATATGTTTAAAGAAATTATATTTGCTATGGAATTCAAGAAATATGTTAATAGAATAAGGGGATCATTTCTTTTTTCCTTTTTTTCCCCCTCATATCACCGCAATCATAATATAGACCAGCCAAAGAACCCAGGCTGGGTGTATATGGTATAGGTTTACTCCACCTCTTTCAGTACAATCAGTGTAAAAACACAGCCTTGATAAGCACCAGGGTGTAGAGAAGGATTATTTCTGTCACTGCTGTGAGGTGCAAACAATAGATTATACACTAACACGTTTATACAAAAGAACATATTATTGAGGGATACAGAAGCCTTGTCTTGCCTGCTGACTCTTTGGCACTGGATTTTAGAAGCTTTTTTCACAACTGCTTATAAAGGCAGGCTGCTTCTGCTCACCTTCGCCAGCACCGATCCTAGACATTTTGTATTGCTCTCTCCTGTGAAAATGCCACATTTGTGGAACCAGGTTGCCTGCCTGACTTGTAACCATAAGAAAATCTAGGTTGTTGAGTATCTACATTCTATTGAAATGTACAGAATCATATGTAAATTTACAAGGGAGCTAAATTCTCCCCTAATCATTAATGTTTACAAACATCAGAATAAATAAAACTTCATCATAATATCAGTCACCATATCCTGAAAAACATTCCTACAGAATGCACCTTTTATGTAACCAAAGATCACTTATATGCACTTGGTAAAAAATAGAAGTAGTGGGAGATGAACACACACACACACACACACACACACACACACATACACACACACGCATGCGCGCGCACACACACAATCTGTTGACAACTGTGCCTGCCATTCTAGCCAATAAATGTATGGCCTGGAGTGATTGGTGATATAAATCCACTGCTATCCTCTTTGATGCCTGTTTCCCATAGCTCTCCATGTGAAATATCTTGTAACTTTAATTAGGAGTAGTGTTTACAAATACAATTTTTATATTATACTTAGTTCCTCTAGAAGAGATAACTACTAACAGAAATCTGATTCCTTATATACAAAAATTTCATTTATCTTCTAATTATTTGGTTGATTGAGAGAAATGATGTATTTGTCATTTCTGTAGGCTCAAATGATCCAGATAATCTGAGCAATTAAAATGAATGAATCTTTCCACACAAGTCTTAAAAGGTTTCATCTTTTCCCGGCCAGATTCTTGTCCTTGGTATAACTGTCTTGCTGGATTTCATATTTGAACATTTTTAGCTTTCTAGAATTTTTGGATTAAATCTTAGTTCTGATTTTTAACTTCCTTTGCTTTGTGGCTGCAGGGGATGAACTCTTCTTCATATGCCACCAGGAGACCATCACGCATAGTCCTTGGGCTCTAATGGCTAAATCAGCCTCAGCCCATCATGGGGTTTCTCAAAGCATGAATTGCCCTGAGCAAGAACTATCTCATTTTCCTGTTCTTTTATTTTCTATGCTCACATAATTCCCAAACTTGATACAATCCACCGTTTAGAGCATTTCCTTCCACTACTACCCTTTCTCAGTTCACTACCACTGGGAAAATTTTTACAGTCATAAACTACCTTGTTTCATAGGTTCTGGTGATGCCTTCTTCATTTCCTGCCAGGAAGCACACATTCCAGCGACAGAATATCATCTTCATGTCAGATTTCTCTGGTCATTTGTGGCACTATTAATGGTGATTGGGTTCCCCAGAAAGCAGACTCTGTAATGGAGACTAACTTGGACGTGTATGAGAAAATTCTTTCAGGACCAATACTCATTGGTCTATATTTGGCTGTCTTGTTTATTTTTGTTATATTGTCTTTTCTCCTCATGTATCTGGTGTGTGTGTGTGTGTGTGTGTGTGTGTGTGTGTGTGTGTGTGTGAAAGAGAGAGAAGTGAAACTATTGAAGAGATAATTTGAGACTTCAGGAGATGCTGCTATTTTTTTACACAAGGATTTTACATTTGCTTCTGCTAGGAAAATAAGGACAGTACCCATGGTCAATTCAATTTCTGGAATTGACAGAATTAGCAGCTGAGCTGTAAACTGTTTGCAGAGCTGTATAACTACACTTTATTCTACCTTCTGCGTGAAAACTTTTAGATTCACAGCTGAAAGTAAAGAGTTCATCATTTTCTGTTTATCAAGCTATGGGCTGCAATTTTTCTCCCTAGATCCACAAAAATGCTAAGTACTTCACCCTTTCAACCTCTCAGTGGCCCACTGTGGAATCTGGAATTGTCCATGGGATGGAGTCATACTGAAATGCTCAGCTCACCTCCCAGGATTGCTGTCCTACCTGTCAGTCCTTAAATCTTGGCCTTATAATTCTTCATTAGTTTGTTAACTCTGTGATGCCTTCAAGCAGATTTTTAAAATATCTTATCCAGCTTCCCTAATGATTCTCAGAAGATAGGGTTATGCAAATAACTTACTTCACCATTAACAGAAGTCCAAGTTGGTATCTTTCAAAGTACATTTACATAGTAATTGACCTTCCAGGCACTAATCTTAAGAATTTTTGGCTGGAAATGTGCTGCACTTATTATCATATAGCTTATAATGCCACAATGCAGATGTGAAGAAATGCAAATTCCAAAGATAACAGTCTACACTACTATTATACTACACATACTACAATTTATCTGGGTGTGTGCATTATGTTTAAAAACCATCAAACCAGAAAAAAAATACTTTGTGAAACACACATCTTATATGTATGAAAGATAACTATGATATAACTATAAGTTGCTTTAGAAAACTAAATTGGCTGAAACCGGTTTGTCTCAGTGGATAGAGCATTGGTCTGCGGACTGAAGGGTCCCAGGTTCGATTCCGGTCAAGGACATGTACATTGGTTGCAGGCACATCCCTGGTGGGGGGTGTGCAGGATGCAGCTGGTCTATGTTTCTCTCTCATAGATGTTTCTAGCTCTCTATTCTTTCTATCCCTCTCCCTTCCTCTCTGTAAAAAATCAATAAAATATATTTTTTAAAAGAAGAAAGAAAAGTAAATTGTGTTTGAGTAGTAGAAATTGTGAAGAAGTCCAAAGCAAAGTAGTAAAAAGAAATGATAGGGAACTATCACTCTCTAAGGTAATGTTGTTTTTTTCTCTGTAAGAAAGCGATATGGTTCTCTCTCTAGATTATGCTAAAAAGTATTGTCCCTGGGAATCAACTAGAGAAAATATTATCAGTGGAATTTTTATATTTCTTTGGTGAACAGAATAAAAAAAGTGTTTTTCTGATTTAAGGATACATTTTTGCTTTCAACTTGTCTCAAATACCACTATTAAAAAAAAAATTAAGCCAAAATAGGTTTGGCTCAGTGGATAGAGCGTCAGCCTGTGGACTGAAAGGTCCCAGGTTCGATTCCAGTCAAGGACATGTCCTTGGTTGCAGGCACATCCCAAGTAGGGGGTGTGCAAGAGACAGCTGAACAATGCTTTTCTCTCATCGATGTTTCTAACTCTCTATCCCTCTCTCTTCCTCTCTGCAAAATAATCAATAAAATATATAAAAATATGAATGAAATAAAAAGACAAGATGCAAGTCAAAGAAAAATGCATTTCAGTTGCATGTCATAGGAAAGAAAAGATCAATGAAAGTATAATTTTTGAGGGAGATTAATATAAGAAAGAAAATATAAAAGTCGTTCATTTAACTTCTGTGGTATTTGCTGATTCCTGTTTGGTGTTGTCCCAGGGAGGTTGAATAATATAAATACTAGAAAGATGCAAATATTTAGGAAATAAAATCATAAATGTATCAGAGCATGGAGAGTGGGAATCTTCATATTTATCTGAGATATTTTCCATTTGTCTATATGCATTTATCCATATGCTTAACAAGCATATCCTATTCATGTGACCTTTTCTTTGTTTTTCCTAGACGTCCATTACCTTTTTTTTTATTTAAGTAAGATTTATAGAATGAACTTTCTCAGTTCAACCATAACAAATATTTATTAGGCATGTATATCTGATCAACAGTCAAGTTTTATAAAGTAAACAGGGTCATACAACCTGGTTTTAATTCAAAACTCAAATGCAATGCATGGCACAAAACCAGCCACTCAGTAACAGAAGTCATTCGGTCTTCACAAGGGCCACCAACATTATCGTCATTATTATTTGCTAGCTATTGATTTTAGTGTAATGATTCACATGGCATGACCTCTTTCAATGAATGAAAGAGGAAAGCGTGCCATGTTTGCAATATTTAGGGCAGAGAAAGATGCAATCTGACTAGTGTGAGAAGCTAAATGAGGGTATTCAGTGGTCTTGATGGAAGGATACTCCAGAGGAAGGAAAGAGCTTTTTAAATTTACATGGTTATTTGCTGGTATACCCTGAGCAGGAATCTTCTAGCAGTTTAGAACTTCATGGATGAAAATCACTTCCAGATCGGCATGACATGGTTTGGACTGCTGACAAGGGAAAGGTCAGGAAAGGTCAGATATGCCATGAAAGGCCCCCGATTGCCGTTATAGGGAATGATGAGGAATCAGGGGGGTTTGAAGGAATGGCTTATCTCTGCCAAAATTGGAAAAGGAAGAAAATGAGAAACTAATCTGGGTTAAGATTCCAGATATTTGAGATATAGAGTGCCTTTCACTCACCATATTCATTCATTTTTCAGAGTGGTCCTTCAGGCTCATCCACTTCTTAATTGTTTCACAAAGCTGCCCTTTCTCTCTGGGGACCCCGCCTGTAAACACACAGAATATGTCCTCAGCCTGTAGCTCCATTCCTAAATGTGTTGTTTCATTTAGTTTCAATGTTGGCAAGTGTAGTTTTCTCACATAGATTATAATGTCTCTGAGAGACACATCTTTAATAAATAAAGTAATAGAATATTAGAGGTAGGTAAGGCCTTGGTACTCTTATAGTTCTTTTTTATTCATTTAATAGTGGGCTGTGGACCAAAGTTCCTTAGTAATGTCCACATACTATGTGTAATTCATTATTGGAAATTTGTATCTTCTCTGCCACTATTAATTTATTCAATCATTTATTTATGGTATAAACTGATATAAATAGATAGTGGTCTTATACTTTGGATAATCATCTAATATTTATAGATGTGGTGTTTTATTATTAGAGTTAAATGTTTTCCCCTAGTCCTCTTAAATATTTATGATATTTTTCAATTTTCTAAATTTTTGTTCAATCTTTTAAAATATTTTAGCATTTTAATACAGTTTAGGAAATTAATTGTAATTTTTTAAAAGCCTAA